TATTTTTTTGTCTATTAATTGCAAATATTATTGATTTATAATTATTTCGGGAACCCTTTGAGAAATTTCAAAGCCTTGTTTCAATTTCATTACCGACAATATTCGGGGCATTCTGTCAGTTTCACCTTTAACCAAAGAGAAATTGAGAGCTATAGCGTTGTTTTCAATATTCGGGGATCGAATGTCGCGTGTTAATTAATTCCACAACGTCTTATAATATTATATGAAACTTTGCTTTATTACTCAACCAAAATTCTCAATTGAGAATTTATTCCTCACACTTCACCTATTTAATATACAATTTTATTTAAATTATATTGATATATTTTTAATTATTTACTATTTCATATTATAAATCAAATTATCTTAAATTTATTTAATTCAAATAATCGATTACTTGTTTATTATCAAATAAATATTTACCTAAACTAAATAATTTTTATTTAAATCAAATAAATTGTATTTAATTTAAATATACTTTAATTATTATTGGTTCTCATTCCAAAACAATTTATTTGATATAAATAAAAATTATTTAAATAAAAAATTATAAATATTATAAATGTTATAAATAAAAATATTATAAATATTATAAATAAAAATATAATAAAATATTATAAATAAATAAAAAATAAAAAAATTACGACTGTAAATATATGTAAATAAAATACATAAAATTAATTAATTAATTATAAGTTATCAAATTACTCGATTATATAAAAATTCGATAAAAATATATATAATATAATATAATATAATATGTCTATAAAAAATTAAGAATAAACAAACCTTGTAATCGTCAATCTCATTTTCTTTTGGAATTAATTATAGAAGCACACAGAATTAACAAAAATTGACAACACTCACGAAAAATTACGTTAAAAATGGATTAATATAATTAAAAATTAAAATTTTTTAAATAGACAAATATTATCAAATTATTTTTATATTATTAGTTTATTATATTGTATTTATTAATCCTTCTCGATTTGAAAAAAATTCCAACACTTCCGAAATATTACAAAAAATATATTATGCATTTTATTAATTATTTAATTTTTAATACGAATAATGAATAATATTTGAAAATGAAATGGAATTTATACGATATCCTGAGGAAAATTGAACACGTTTAGACAGGCTGAATAGCGATTAGTAACTGATGAGTATGGATTAAATTTCAATTGAATTTTCCGTTCAACTTGTTTAGACCTGAATTGTATGTTATATTGTTCCTCACCCCTATAAGTCACCTCAAAGGCGTCTTATCTTTGTTTGCATATCTAAATGTAAACACATACCTCTTGAAAGTTGAGAATAATTTCAAGAACGTAATATTATAGTCAATTTCAAAATTATAATTATAATATTGTAATTTTAATATTATTTTAAAAAATATAGTGAGAGAGATTGAATAGAATTTTCAATAGTGTTTTAAAAAAAGGAAAAGAAAAATGAAATTGTTTTCAAAAAAGTTATTAATAATTTTTCTTTTACTTTTCACTGTAGATAAAAAAATTATAACAATTTCCTAATTATTTAATGTTAGTTTCAGCATTTTAATTAAAATAAAAATATACATAAAGTATAAAAATAAAATAAATAATGTAATATTAGTCATTAAAAATTATTTTTAAAACACTGAAAATTTTTGAAAAATAATTAATAGTAAATTACCCGTTTACTAGAATAAATATATATAGTAAATAACAATTACCAACTCTCTCAATTCTGATGATAATATTAGATTAAAAAAATATTAAATCAAAGACAATAATTATTAAAAGTTAGAAAATATAAATAATTTTAATTACTAAAATCAAAATATAAAGAAATTTGTAAAAACTCAAAATTGATGTTTTTTTTATAAAACTTTTATGAATTGAATAAAAAAATATTATAAATAAAAAAATATAAATTTATAAGGATTATAAAAAAATAAAATAAACAAAATAATTTTAAAGAAATTTAAATTTATTTTTGTTTATTTAAATTTTAAATTTAAAGAAAATAAAATTATTATTAAAAATATTTTAAAAATCCTTAAAAAAAATACTTGTATAAACAAAATTGAATTCAGTGGAAAGTGATATTTTTAAAGTGTCGGATAATCGTTAAAAACTTTAAGAATAACAGATTCGTCATTACGTCATAATGTGATTATGTCTCAAAATGTCATTATATCGACAAACTGTCATTGAAATAATGGAATTTCGTTCCGGAGTAATTGAATTTTCCAAGCGATTTTACTCTCACTTTGCCAGGACTGTCACTTTTTTTTTTTAAAAAAGTTATTAAAATCGACGAAGCTTTCAGTTTCGTCTAAAATAACTTAAAAATTTTGAAACTATTATTTTCACGAGAGATCGATACGATAAACACAAATCTATTTCAATCACGTTTTATAATTGGATATTATTTACCATTATGAAGAATTTTTTTTCAATTTTTTTTATAATTAATTTTTTTATTCAAAAATTACCTAAATAATTAGATTAATTACTGATTTAGTAATTCAACTTATTTTATTTAATTATTATTTGTTTTTTTTTTATTGCTATTTATGTAATTTATGTTATTCAATAATAAATATTCAGAAATTTTTTTACACTTTTTTTTATTTAATAATTCTTTAAATTAATTTCAAGAAATATTCGAATTTTTAAATAATTCGAAAATTAAATTTTGAACAAAAATTCTCAACTTTTATCAAAGTTTCTTAAAAAATTTTTTTTTATAAATACTAAATTTTTATCGAAGGAACTCCAAATGATTATTATTTAATCAATTTTCATTTACTTTTTACTCTTTTATCATTTCATGAAATTCTTGAAACTATTATCAAAAAATATTCAAACAATTCAAAAATAGGACATAAAAGAATTATAAATTTTTGTATTTATATTAATTAAAATTCATGAAAATAATTGAACTATTGCGAAGAAATTTATAAAAAAAATTGTAAATAATTGAATTCTTGTGAAATTTTTATTTATTTATGAAAATAATTAAATTTATTTTAAATAATTGAATTCTTTTAGAAAATTTTATTAAAATAGTAGATATTGAAAATAATTGAATTGTAGAAAATTTTTAAAATTAAACCTTTTCTAAATTCAATTATTACTAAAAATTTATCCTAAAATGCTCTTAATATTCAATTATTATGTAAAATTTTTACTGAAATTCATTTTAAAAAAAATTTTTATTAGAAAATTCTACTAAAATTCAATTATTTAAATATAAAAATAAATAATTTATTAATAGTATGTTTCTTAAAATTGAATGCTCGTAAAGAATTTTATTAAATAAATTTTTAAGTAAATAAATGTTCTCGACGAATTTTAGCAAAATTTAAAGAAATATAAATTATATTTTTCAAGAAATCTGTTTAAAATTGTAATAAAAATAATTGAAATTCTACGAAAAGTTTTATTATTTGTGCAAATATTTGAGTCCCTAAGAAAAATTTTATTATTTTTGAACATAATTAAATTCTTGCAATAATTTGTATTGTAAAAAAATAATTTATTGAATAATTCAATATTTCTTTAAATTCAAATCTCATAAATGATTTCATCAACAAATTTTTAAATAATTGAATTCTTTCGATGAATTTTAATAAAATTTTTAAGAATAATTACATTTTTCAAGGAATTTAATTAAAATTTATTGTAGATTAAAAATAATTGAAATTCTGCAATGAGTTTTATTATTTATGAAAAAGAAAATAATTGAATTTCTAAAAAGAATTTTATTATTTACGAAAATAATTTAATCCCTGTAAAAATTTTATTATTTCTGAAAATAGTTGAATGTTTCACAAGAATTTTTTTTTAAATTTTTGAAAATAATTGAATTTCGGAGAAGAATTTTATTATTTATAAAGATAGGTAATTGAAAATTTGACGAGAATTAAAAAAATTTTTGAACATAATTGAATTTTTTGCGAAGAATTTTATTACTTTACGGGATTTACGGACTTAGTTCGAGCTCTGATGTCTTTCGAGTATTATATCAATTGTAATTGATGTTCAAAATTTAATTGTAATTAATTTTAATTTTGAACTTCAATTAAAATTCGACGCAAATATGGAAACAAATTTAACGATTTAGGAAAAAAAAAATCTTTCGAATCCGATGAATAATAATATTAATTAAACGAATTCTCATTAGTGTTTTGTTCTCATTGACTATTCGCAATATTCTTTTCTTCTCCCTCATAAAAAAAAATATACACCGCGTCTCAAAAATATAATCCACGTTATCTTCTAATAATAATAATGTGAAAGCGGCGTACGTTGTCTTCCGCTCGCGGCTAGAGGAAGCGAATGTTCCGCTCTTCCTCACGAAGAGGATGACGACGATGGCAGAGGATGAAATAGGCGTGCTTATAACTTCGTACTACCGCTCGTAATTTCATCATTTCCGTTTTACGGTCTCGGTATCGTCGCACTCGAGGGAAGACACATACACACGGCGCCGCGACTTCTTCCGCCTTTGACTTCACTCGTCTCTCGTCGCAAACGTCTAAAACGTTTGAAAAGTCTCTCCTTCAAGTCGAGTGGCTCCCATATGCGAAAACTGGGCTTGACTTAACATTTCACTCTCGCCTCTGCTATTTGTCGCGAGTCACTCGCATCACTGCACCAAACTCCAATTCCTCTCCTATATATACATATACATCTATATCTGTAAAACTTCAGATCAGCTATTTCCTCAGTTTACGACAAACTCCAAAGAGAAGAGATCAAATTGCTTCAATTTGAAACTCGATAATCAAAAGTCTTGCATTTCGAAAATTGAATTTGGAGCTGCAAAAAAAATTACAAATCAATATAATCAATTACAATATTATTAAAAATAATCAACTAAATATTTCAAAAATTATCAATTGAAAGTAAAAATTACAAACATTGAAATTTGAAAATAAAAAGTACAAATAAAAATAAATACAATGGGAAATTTTCCTAATGTGGGAAAAGAAAATAACAATTTCATTAAATCTTAAAATATATATATTGACCAATAATAGATGATTATCATTTATTTACAAGTGATTCAGAATAATCAGAGCAATCCAAAAATCTTTTATCCAAAATCAAAATTCCATGAACAAGATTTCATTTTAGCGAAATCTATTTCACTCAATATTATTCCACCGCTAATTTGAAATAAACCGCAAAGCAGGGAATATTTTACATCTGCATTTAGAAACTTTTCAAAGTCGAAGTACAATTTACTTCCAACTGTTTGTTTTGAATTCACAGAATCAAGTAAAATTCGCTTTAATATAAATTTGCTCGCATTGGAAATATAATGTTTCGACGAATGTAGGTAACACGTATCGTGCATTTTGTATGTACAAATAATCTCTTGAGCTTTACAAAGCCCTTGAAAGCGCAAATACATTACTTCTCAGAGTAATAATGCATTCAAAATATGAGTGAGAGATAGAGAGAGAGAAAGAGGGAGGAACAGGATTTGCCTAGAAAATTAGTCGAATGCACGTATCTACAAATCCTTCACCTTCACCTTCGTATAATATAATTATAAAAAAAAATTATAATTACTTCGATGGTACTTTGTAAATGATATAATGATACGAAAAAAAAATTACTGTGTCCGTACGTATATAAATTATTCATTAAATTTCTCTCTAGTTGGCACTAAGAATTCAATGACAGACGAGAATACTGTTAGTAGTTAATACCCTTCAGGCAAAATTCCACAATTATCAATTTTTAATGAAAAGAAAAGATTTTTCAATTCATGAAAATCTTTTTATATCTAAAATTCAAAATATAAAAAACAGAAATTATATTGAATCGAAACAAATAAAAAAAAGAGAAAAAAATCGAAAACCAATAGGAAAGATTGAAAAGAACGTATTTTAAAAAACTGAATAGTAATAATAATACAAAGGAAAAAAAAATAATACAAAAATCCATTGTAGCACCCACTAAATACACATCACCGGTATATTTTAATCTAAGGAATGTTATTGGCATTCTCCGTTATAATCTGTCTATCCAATTTCTCAATTCAGTTCAATTTCTGGAATAAAATCACAATCTAAAAACAACATGTCAATATATACAAATTGACATTCCCCTATATAGAAATAACAAAAATATAAAAATGATATTTTTCCACGATTATTGTGATTTCTCCCTATTTTTTTTATAATCTATATACTTAAAGTCTACTTAAAGCTACTTACATAAAAATGGAAGACAAAAACTTGGGTTTTGAGCGAGAAGGACTTTTTTACAACAAAGGACTTTTTTTAAAAAATAATAAAACAAATCAAAATACAAAAAAAAGATTTTCAATCAATTACCTGAGCGTTTTATAATATAAATTTCTTTTTTATCCTAATTTTTGAATTCAGGACGAATATCAATATATGACGATTACCTTATATAAAAACTATTTTATATGGCAATTCATCGGCAGCAAAAATGAGAAGATGAAGAAGAGAGAGAATTAATACTTACACCGGAGAGTATCGTGAAAGATACCTTGAAAAAGAATGTTTAACTTCCTTGTTTTCTTTTTTTACATAAATTGGAAATTGTTTGAAGTTTGAAGAAGAGAAAAATAAATAACACTTAAACATTAATGTTGCATGGTTTCAATTCCATGAACTGGTAAGGCACGTGTAACGTAATGTTGTTATGTTCGACAAGTAAGTGGCCACGTCTCGAGGAAGCTCCAACCACAAGAACTGTCTCACCTTTCAAAAGAACGACCTCACCTTCACCTCCTTCTAGAAGAGGAAAGCAAAATTCTCTACGTTAAAGAAAAATCATTTTTTGACAAGGTAAGAAATTTTAGTCTTTTGAAAATACTTTACAAAATTTTTAAAATTAATTTAATAAATAATATTTTTTGAATGATTAAATAATCAAATAATGTAATTAATATTTACCAGGAAATGGGGTCTTCATTACTCTCGTCTGGGGATATCCAAGTTTCGTATTTCCAGTAACAGTATAAGATCGACTGGGCGGAACAGGTGGAGGACGTTCCTGAAAAATAATTCCACACACATTTTCCAATTTAGTAATTAGTATAAAAATTTTTCCTTACAAATATTATAGATTTTTGAAAATCTGAAAGAAAAAAAAACAGAGAGAGAGAGAGAGAGAAAAAGAAAAAATTTACCAAATCCAATCCAAAGAGAGTACAAGTCTGCTGAATCATTTTCTGATCAGCACATTTTTCTGAAGGATCAGGTGGTGGTGTTCCCGTGATAGGTTGCGGTCTCGGACGAATTCCATTTCCGGTAACAGAACCAAGAGTCACATTTCTTTGAATAGTGCCAGTATTACTCGATGGCGGTTGAGAATTTTTCTTCTGACCCAAACTCGACACTAGAGTCATATTTGTTCTTCGAACGGGCCATCGTCTACGCACCCGCCAACCTCTCCACGTAGCCTAAAATAATAGAAAAATATATTTTTCAAAACATTCATCCACATTTGAATTAGTCAAACAAAATCAACAATTAGAATAATACTTTCCGAATAAAAAAGGGAATGTGAAAATAGGTTAAAAAGACGATAAGAATATTAAATAATAAATATCAAATGAATAATTTAAATTTTGATAATAATTATTCTCACCTGAATATTAGTGGCGGCTTTCCTTCTCGTCTCAGATCGGAGATTTTCCAATTGCTGTCGAATACCCTCGCTGAGGAAAATGTGCCGCTTGCCAAGAGCCCAACTCGTACTTGCGCCGAATTTACTCTTCATTTGTTGGGCATTTTGTAAAATTAATTTTGTATCTTCAACCGCTTGGTCCTCGGCCCTTCGTAATTGTTTGAAGGGCGCAATCAGTCTATACCTTGCGTTGAATGCCTTGAACCTCATTCTATGAGGATATCCTGGAAAATTAATTAAATTTCGCAAAATTTATTTTCGGCAAAATTAAATTAAATAATACCTTTTTGAAATTGTCAATTTAGAATGGAAATAAAAAATTTTTCGCTGTAATTAAGTATAGTTGTGCGAGAAAAAGCAAAAATTACACGAGAATTCGAGTTGAATAACTGTTACATTCATTTACCTCCTGCCATTAAATTTACAGTCTCGAGAACTTGAAGAGATCTAATTTGGCGCATAGCGACTCCTCTATCCAAATGCATTGGCGTCTCTGAAGCATTACTCCTTATGCACCGAACGAAATGAGGTCTTGCATGCACCAAAGTCCTCAAAAGATTATCCAGTCGTGTGTGAAAATCCTGAGTCAATGTTGAAATGGGCTCATCGCCATTCAAGCTGCAAAAGTTTATTTCAAACTTATTTCACACTTTTTTACCTCAAAATTCACTAATTTACAAATTATTTTCTATTATTTGTTTTTATCAAAATATTTTATGAAAATTTTTATTATCAAAAAAAAAACTTACAGATCCGTGTGTGAGGTGGGAGATATTCTAAAGCTCACTCCTCGCGGAACTGTATCACTTGCATAAAGTGCTTTCAATTCACTTCCAAAGAGATGTGTCGCAAAACCAAAATTACACGTGTGTTTATAAAATACTGCCACTAAATCATCAGGCACCACATCTTTATTTGTATCTAAAGAAAAAGAAGTTAGAAATTTGAATTTTTTCTTCTTCTTCTTTCAACTACGCAAATGGAAAGGAAAAATGCAGAATATTTAAAAGAATACTTAATGAATTTTACCTAGAAAATCAGAAGCATCGTACGTGACTCTTCCAGCAAAATGTTGGATTCCAAATGATCGACAGTCAACAGCCCTTGGTTCAAAAAGCCTTGGATTTTGCTTGTGTTGCACCTTTACCTTTGCCACGTAACTCTCTGCTGTTCCTCGTATTGAGCATTCAACATCGAGCATGCTCAAGAGACCAGTTCTCTGATAATACAATTTAAAGAAAAAATAATTTAAAGACAAAAAAGCAAGGACCAAAAAGAAATAAAAAAGGAAGACGAAAAATGATTACAAAAAAATAAAAACAAATTAAGGACAAAAATTAGGACAAATTAAAGGAATGAAAATAAAGACAATTTAGAGACAAATTAAAGGCAAACAAATTTTAAAAAAATTAAAAACAAAAAATAAAGACAAAAACAAATTACAGACAAGAAAATAAAAACAAATTAGAGACAAAAAATAAGACAAATTAAAGGCAAAAAATAAAAGACAAATTAAAAACAAAAAATAAAGACAAAAACAAATTACAGACAAGAAAATAAAAACAAATTAGAGACAAAAAAATAAGACCAAAATTAAGACAAATAAAGACAAATTAGAGACAAAAAAATAAGACAAATCAAAAGCAAATAAATTAAAGACAAATTAAAAAAAAAAATAAAAACTAATTACTGACAAGAAAATAAAGACAATTTAAACACAAAAAATACGTACAAAAACAAATTACAGACAAGAAAATAAAGACAAATTAAAAACAAAAAGTAAAGACAGAAACAAATTACAGACAAGAAAATAAACACAAATTAAAAACAAAAAATAAAGACAAATTAATGGCAAGAAAATAAATAGAATTTAGAGACAAAAAAATAAAACAAATTAAAGACAAAGAAATTAAAGACAAATTAAAGGTAAAAAAAAGACAAAATAAATTACAGACAAGAAAATAAAGACAAATTAAAAACAAAAAGTAAAGTCAAATTAAAGGCAAGAAATTAAAGACAAATTAAAAACAAAAAATAAAGACAAATTAAAGACAAAGAAAGAAGACAAACTAAAGGCAAAGAAATTAAAGAGAAAAAATAAAGACAAAAATAAATTACAGACAAGAAAATAAAGACAAATTAGAGACAAATAATAAAGGCAAAAATAAATTTCAGACAAGAAAATAAAGACAAATTAGGGGCAAAAAATAAAACAAATTATGGCAAAAAATTAAAGACAAATTAAAGATAAAAAATAAAAACAAAAAAAGATGAAGACAAATGAAAGACGAGAACAAATTAAATAATACAGGAAATTAAAGACAAATTAAAAACAAAAAATAAATTCAAATTAAAGGCAAGAAAATAAAGACAAATTAGAGACAAAAAAATAAGACAAATAAAGGCAAAAAAATTAAAGTCAAATTAAAGACAAGAAATAAAAACAAACAAAAATTACAGACAAGAAAATAAAAACAAATTAGAGACAAAAAAATAAGAAATTAAAGACAAAAATTAAGACAAATTAAAGGAAAGAAAATAAAGACAAATTAGAGACAAAAAAATGAGACAAATTAAAGGCAAAAAAATTAAAGACAAATTAAAAACAAAAAATAAAGACAAAAACAAATTACAGACAAGAAAATAAAAACAAATTAAAGACAAAAAAATAAGACAAATTGAAGACAAAAATTAAGACAAATTAAAGGAAAGAAAATAAAGACAAATTAGAGACAAAAAAATAAGACAAACGAAAGGCAAAGAAATTAAAGAGAAGAAATAAAGACAAAAGCAAGTGAAAGACAAAGACAAATTAAAGACCAAAAACTACAAACAAATCAGAGGCAAAAAAATACAGACAAATTAGAGATAGAAAATAAAAGCAGACAATAAATCGTTATTAATAATCGAGATTATATTTCGAACTCACCAAAGAGGAAATAAGATCAATGCAGGGGACATTATCGACATAATCAACTTCAACATCACAATGAATGCCCTCATCTCGACAACTTTCGATGGAGCTTTTGAAAATGTGAGTATTGTAAAAATGCTGCATTGTTTCGGCGCAAAGATTTATACATAAATGCTCGAGTTGACTTGGTTTTGGATCCTCGAATCCAAACATGTCTAGGATGCCAATGAAACCATCTGTTGCATGTCTAACTGCATTATTTAAAGCAGTCATACTTCGCGAACCAGTTCCACCTTGAAAACAATTTTCCAATTATTCATTACTTATTTTTGTAAAAATTTCCCATCTCTCTCCAATATCCTACAAATATTTCCAATTTTCAATATTTTCCTCTCATAACTTTTTGCATTTTACTTAATTTTTTTATCAAAATTTTCTTTTTTTTACAATTATTTATACAATTTTTCTATACAATTTTTTTATACAATTTTTTTATACAATTTTTTTTTAATTCAATTTTAAAAAAAGAATTTTGATAAAATAAAACAAATTGGTGAAAAAATTACCAATTTGTTTTATTTTATCAAATTTTTTTTTCCTCCTCCGCTTTTGAACTCTTCTATTTTCATTTTTGGTTCTAAAGCAGTTCTCAATAATAATAATTAATAAAATTCGATAAAAATATTAAAGATAAGAAAAATTAAAAGTTATGAATAACAATCAATTAATAAATAAATAATTATATCGATTTTATTACTAATGAGTAATAGATAATAAAAGGCATTTTTTTTTGGTCCAAAGGGAATTTTTGGATTTATTTTTCTTCTTCTGGAAATTTTTCTGTTTTTTCATTTTTTTTTTTTTTTGTTTTAATTACCTGCTGAACTTCCAATAGTGGAGGCATGCTGGCTGGTGACTTCGGCTTGATTATGAACAGACTCGTTCGAATCGGAAGAAAGAGTTCCGAGCGTGGAACCGAGTCTCTTTAAACTATTCGCCCTTCGAACAATAGTGGCGACAGTTCGACAATAAAGTGCCTTTGCCAACGAATCTCTCGTCATATTCGACTGAACAAAAAAATAAACAAGAAACATAAATTTTCCGAACTTTCGAAAACGAACGATGCAAAAAAAAAGAAGAACAAAATTTGCCAAAATTTCAATATGTGTCAGTACTTTTTATTTTCATTTTAACAGAAAATCTATTTTATCGTCAAATACGAATTAATTGTTTAACAAATTTAATTAAAAATTAAACACTTAAATTTTACATTTAGAAATTCTACAATTAATTTTTTTTTATAATGACGTAAAATTATTGTAATAAAAATTTAATTTATAGGAGAAAAAAATGAATTTCACTGATTTGCACGAGTATAACTTTACGATTACGAATTTGAGTAAGTAAATTAATTGAATTAGAAACTAAATGAATTCTATTAATTCAAACGGAATTAAATAATTCAATTTTCAAATCAATTGAATTAAATTAATAAATAAATTATATTAGATATTTCCTAACGAATCGAAGAAAAATCGATGGACGCTTGAAATTTGAAGAGAGTAAAATATTAATAGTCGTGAGATGTTGTATATGAATATATGTATAAATGTTGGCTTTATTTCGCTTTGACGATGAATAGTAATAGTGATTACCATATTGGCATCGCAGACCGACTTGACAAGCTGTCCACGGGCATTATGGGTCCTGGAGGTGAGTCCTCTCAACAAAGCTGGCGGAGGAACACCTAAAAGTGCCGCCACAGATGCCAACTCATTCTCTCCGATCACTCCAACCTCCACTCCAGGGCCATCAGTAAACCCCACGTTTCCAAGAATCAGAACAGCTGCTAATACTCGAACCACATCCAAAAATGGAATTCCTAGTACTCCTGAAATTTACATATTTTATTTTTTTATTTATTATTATCATCCCTCAATGCACGCCCTACTCTACTAATTATCACAGGTATTTTCTCTTGTTTTATCTTGACTAATATCAATTTTACTTTTCCTACAATCTTTTCTACTTTTCTTCTTTTATCATAGCAGGCATTAACTTTCCTCTTGTCTTCACTGTTATCAATTTTATTTTTTCTCCGATTTTTCAACTTATTTTTTTATTTTCTATACATTTATTATTTATATCACTAAGAAAAAGGTAAATCTGCTTTTCCTACAATTTTTCACAAATTTCTTGTTTTATTATCACAGGTTTACTTTTCTCTTATCTTTCCTATTATCAATTTTGTTTTTCCTGCAATTTTTTTCAATTTTCTTTTTTTATTTCATTTATTATTATTATATGCAAATTAAAAAAATTTATGATTATTAAATATTAATTTCAATTTTGGAATAATTTCAGATTCAAAATATAAAATAAATTTAATTATTAGATTATTACCTAATTTCCTAATTAATTATAATGATTTATTGTTTTCATCAAACTTTAATAAAATTCATCGCAGAAATTCAATTATTTCCAATAGAATTTCAATAATATTTCTCAAAAGATTTTAATTATTTTTGAAAATTTGACAAAATTCTTGGAAAAAATTGAATTTTTTTTAGAAAAATTTTGATTAAATTTTTTCTAAAAATTAAAATATTTTCAATACAATTTAAATACGATTGCCGGAAAAAATTCAAGTATTTTAGAAATTTTTAATTAAATTCTTATCAAGATTTCAATTATTTTCATAATTTATAAAATTATTCACAGAACTTTAATTATTATTATTATTTTGAAAAATTTTTAATAAATTCTTTATGAGAATTAAAATATTTTCCATACAATTTTAAATGAATTCCTCAAAAAAATCCAATTATTTTTGAAAATTTTGTTTAAACTCTTAGCAAGATTTCTATTATTTTCATAATTTATAACAATTGTTCGCAGGTATTTAATTATTATTATTTTTATAAAATTCTTCGCAGAAATTCAATTATTTTGACAAATTTTTAGTAGAAATATTTTTAGTATTGAATTATTTTCAGAAATAATAAAATTTTACGCAGGAATTTAATCCTAAAGAATAAAATTTTTCGCAGAAATTCAATTATTTTCGAAAATTTTGTTTAAATTCTTAACAAGATTCCAATTATTTTTATGATTTATAAAATTATTCACAGTAATTTTTGATTTTTTAATTCTGAAAAATTTCAATAAAATTCCTTATAAAAAAAAATTTAATTGAATACTTTAAAAAAATAATTATTTTCCTAAATAATTAAAATTCTTCTCAGAAATTCAATTATTTAGAAAAAATTTTCGTAAAATTCTTACCAAGGTTTAAATTATTTTCATAATTAATAACATTTCTTGAAGAACTCAATATTATTTAAAGAAAATTATAATAAAATTTCTCGAAAAAATTCAAGTATTTTAAAAAAAATGTTAATTATAACGGTATAAAACATTCTTCGCAGAATTAAATTATTTTCAAAAATGTTAATTAAAATCTTTACAAGAATTGAAAACTTTTTAATATTATTTTCATGAAATTTCTCGTAAGAATTAATTTATTTTTAAAGATTTTAATTAAATTTTTCGCTAGAAATTTAATTATTTTGAAAAATTTTGATTAATTTCTTTAATAAGAATTCAATTATTTCAGATTCAAAATTATGAAAGAAGTAACATAAAAGAAATATTATAAATTGAAAATAATTTTGTTAAATTAATTTTTTGTTACTTTTCAATCCTCAAAGGATCAAATTAGAATTTCCTTGCTTTTAAAGTTCAAAACATTAAAAAGAAAAATAATAAAAAAAATTAAGAATACAGAATTCAACAATTATTAAAAAAATTATTAAAAAATAGGAAAAGAAGAAAAAAAATTAATTTTTTTCTCACCCAAACACGCTTTCCATGCCTGAAATCTAACAGCGTCCTCAGTCTCATCTTGTCTCGTGTCGCCTTGCTGGAGATACCTCAAATTTTTCAAATTATATCCCTCCAAATTTAGTTTAACTGGAAAAATTTAAAATCGTATATATAAAGTTAATTATTCTCAATTAGGAGATTTTTTTTTAATATCAATGTTTGGATGATAATGAGTTATTATTTATAATAATACCGTTAACGTTAAAATTTTTTCTCTCTCAGAATTAACGACTCTAAAAACAGTATATAAAGAGCCCAAGAGAGTGCTTATTATCGTCATCATTTTTTTTACCTCGTTCATCATGCGAGAGACCAGCTAACATTTGATAGAAAATGTGATAATTTTTCTCATCTGCCAGTGGCCGAATGACCCTCGTTTGGTCCAAAAAGTAACAGTGAATTTTCGTTCTGTAAAGGGCCCCATCTGTTACCTGCACTTCTATAAAATGTCCCTGGAAAATTTTTTTAAAAGAATCGTTTAACAAATAAATTAATAACTATAATTAAAGTGTAATTTACTACCATTTTTCTCGTTTTTGATTTTAGATACATAATATTTTAGAAATATTTCCCACACATTTTATTGTGATAAATATGTTACCAACAAGTGCTTCTAATTTGAGTTATTAAAAAAATTGTTTTAATCAATTTTGATATCAAAAGGGAACAAATAAGAAATTTTGACTGAGTAGATAAAATAAATGAAATTAAATTCTTAAACAAGTAAATAAATAAAATAAATTAATGAATAAATTAATTATTTAAATTAGATAATAAAATTAATAAAAAAAAATTTCCTCTTTCATGAATTTACTTTACATGGAATCAATTTAGTTTGTTCGTGGAGATTTTCAATTTAAAAAATTCACAATATTTTTGTTGATAATGTGTCAAATTATGGCCGAGATATTTCACGGAAATATTTTAATAAAAATTAACTGGTAGCACATAAACACATGCCCTTAAGGAAGGAATAAAATAAAAAAAAATTCCATGAACTCACGATTCGTGAACTTTCAGAATTCGTGGCAGTCTTGGCAGAACCTAAAGATCTGAGAACAGTGAAAGCAGCAGCCAAATGTTTAAAAGCGTCAGTTTCAGGACCACCACCAGCAACGTCGAAAAGTTGCCTCAGTAATAACATAGAGGCATAAGTTTTACCCGAACCACTGGTTCCTGAAAGTGGAATAAACATTTTTTATTAAAAAAAAAAAAAAAATGCGAAACTTCATTTTTTCTTAAAAGTTATTTTCTATTTATTTATTTCCATATGGAAAATATCTCATTAATCAAAAATACATTATTTTTCTGTCGTTTGTTATATTTTAAATTTTATACGTCTACATTTTAATTATTTGTATTTTTATTAATATTAATAATTAATAATTAATAATTTCGTAGATTTTAATTAATTTTATTTTTAAAAAATAGTAATTTGTATTTTAAATTTTAAATCACTTGACTTAAAACAAATTGCAAACGAATTGATACCAAAAATGTGGATCGAATCAAAAATTGATCTAAATTTTTGGTATCAATTTGAAACGATTTATTATCAATTTTCTACTTTTATGAAAACGGTGTTAATTTTATTTTCATTAATTAATAATTTTATCTAATTGTCGTTATTTTTTATATTTTCAATTTCTGGAAAATTATATACCCAGACGTCAGATAGAAAATAAAATTATTTTTTCCAAAAAAAATTCATTAAGTTAAGTTGAATATTTCTGTACATGGATTTTTACTTGAAAGAATTAAAATTTAATGAGAATTTGTTAACAGTATCATCGGACATTTACCTGAGAGAATGATTGCCTGAGGATAACCAGTTTCTGATTGCTGCCTTACGGCCTCTTGAACAACCCTATTTAACTGGGGCGCCAATGGCACAGCCCTTGTACTCGTCAGAGTCAAGGGATTCCCAACATCCGTGTAGGGATTAATGCAAACGAGAATTGGACCAACATTCGTCTGAAATCAGATAAAATTATAATCTATTACTTCTTTTTCATTTCAAAGAAAAGAAAACATAAATCTCAATTTATTACAAAAATTACACTTCTCATTAAAAATTTTTAATATTTAAACTATTTTATATTTTTATGCGCTTGATAATTTTATTTATAAACAAATAATAATGTAAATAAAGTCAACTTCTGGACCAATAGGCCAAATGTTCAATAAATATTATTATTTTCATAAATAAATAAAATTCATGAAAAAATTAAAATTGATAAATATAAATATATACTTAATAAAAAATAAATGTTATAATTCAATCAATTAAAATAAAATAAATAATAAAGTACTTATAATAAAAAGTAGATAACAATATAAAATACTTAATATATAATATATAATGATAAAAATTAAATAAAAAATATAAATACCTAACGACATTTTAATGCGACAAAGGAAAATGATATACATGAGAAATTGTCCGTGTAAGAGCTCAATTAGGATATTTTGTGGGTCTGCTAGTTTTGTAAATTGATATCTCGCTTGTATCATATATATATATATATGCTGTCGAGAGTAAAAGAGAATAAAAGAAGCATCGCATCGGCGTGTGACTCGACGCATTTAAAATCAAATAGACACACATCAGACTGACTTTTAAAAGATTCCAAAAGTGATTCAACATTTTTTTTTGTCCTCCATCAATCCTTTTCTCCACATATATACATATAGAGATGATTCTTAGTTCTTACGAAACAAAAATGGACTAATAATTTTCTTTCAAGAAAAAAAAATGATTTTTGAATAAATTTACATATTTTTATATTTCTAACAAATAGTGTCAATTATTGTTATTAATTTTTGTGTTAACTTTCATTTTTCCCTTGTATTAATTACATCAGAATTTATTAGAATATTGTTAAGAGTCTTAATACAATTCCCGGAAAAAATACAATTATTTTTGAAAATTGTAATTAAATTCTTAGCAAGATTTCAATTATTTTCATAATTTATAAAATTATTCACAGGAATTTAATAATTATTATTTTTATAAAATTTTTTTGCAGAAATTCAATTATTTTGAAAAAATTTCATAAATTTATTTATAAGAATTGAATTATTTGCAGAATTAATAAAATTCTACGCGGGGACTTAATCCTAAAAAATAAAATTCTTCTCAGAAATTAAATTATTTGGAAAAATTTTTAATAAATTCTTTATGAGAATTAAAATATTTTCCATACAATTTTAAATGAATTCCTCAAAAAAATCCAATTATTTTCGGAAATTTTATTTAAATTCTTAGCAAGATTTCTATTATTTTCATAATTTTTATCAAATTATTCGCAGGGATATAATTATTATTATTATTTTAATAAAATTCTACGCAGAAATTCAATTAATTTGAAAAATTTTGATAATTTTATTTATAAGAAACGTATAATTTTCATAATTAGTAAAAATCTTCGCAGGAATTTAACAAATTTCAAGAATTTTAATAGAATTCTACACAAAAATTTTATTTTTAATTTTTAAATTCTAAAACATTTCAATAAAATTCTTCACAGAAATTCAATTATTTAGAAAAAATTTTAGTGAAATTATTTAAAAGAATCACTTATTTTAAATACAATTTTAATAAAAAAAAAAAACAGTTTAAAACAGTTTTAATACAATTCCCGGAAAGAATTCAATTATTTTTTAAAATTGCAATTAAATTCTTAGCAAAATTTCAATTATTTTCATAATTTATGAAATTATTCACAGAGACTTAATAATTATTATTTTAATAAAATTCTTCGTAGAAATTCAAATATTTTGAAAAATTTTTATTAGAAATTTTTTTAATTGAATTATTTTCAGAAATAATAAAATTCTACGCAGGAATTTAATCCTAAAAGATAAAATTCTTCCCAGAAATTCAATTATTTGAAAAAATTTTAAGAATTAAAATATTTTCAATACAGTTTTAATTGAATTCCTTAAGAAAATCCAATTATTTTCGAAAATTTTATTTAAATTCTTAGCAAGATTTCTATTATTCTCATAATTTCTCAAATTATTCGCAGGAATTTAATTATTATTATTATTATTTTAATAAAATTCTTCGCAGAAATTCAATTAATTTGAAAAAATTTGATAAAATTATTTATAAGAATTGAATTATTTTTATAAGCAGTAAAAATTTTCACAGGAATTTAATTATTTTAAAGAATTTTAATGAAATTTTCACAAAAATTTTATTTTTGATTTTTAAATTCTGAAACATTTCAATAAAATTCTTTACAAGAAAAAAATTTTATTGAATACATTAAAAGAATAATTTATTTTCATAAATAATAAAATTTTCACACAAATTCAATTATTTAGAAAAAATTGTGGTAAAATTAATTAAAAGAACTAATTTTTTTTATAATACAATTTTAATAAAATTCTTACCAAGGTTTTAATTATTTTCACAATTATTCATAAAATTTCTCGAAAGAACTTAATTTTTTAAAAAAATTGTAATAAAATTTCTCGAAAGAATTCAATAATTAAAAAAAAATGTTAATTATAAGGATTATAATATTCTTCGCAAAAATTTAATTATATCTTCAGAAATGTTGATAAAAATCTATATAAAAAAACTAAAAAATAAATAAAAAATAAAAAAAAATAAAAATAAATAAAATAAATATATAAAAAATTTTTATATTTTTAATATTATTTTTGAAAACTGTACATTTTATTTATGTAAATATAATTATTTTTGAATAAATTTACATATTTTTATATTTCTAACAAATAGTGTCAATTATTGTTAATAATTTTCGAGTTAACTTTCTTTTTTCTTTTAGATCAATTTACTTCGTAATTTATTAGAATTGTTAACAATTTTTCTAAGGATATCAAATACCTTTTTTGTCTCAATTTAATATTCTTTTGAAAAATCTGTGAATTAGTAACAAAATTAGAAGGAATTCGAAAGTTCTAATAAACATTTTGTTGAAAAAGAAATGTAGCAAAAAAAGTTATATTTGCTTCACTTCGTTTACGAGCGAATTTTCATGCCGTCTAGGCGGCAATTTAATGAACTAAATTGGCGCGAAAATCAAAAAAAGAAAAATTTTAGGCATTACGTTACCTTCTAATTTTGAGTCACGAAAAATAAAGTAAGTAAATTTTCTTTTCTCAGTAAAAAAAAATTGCTACATTCCGAATTTTTTTCTCACTACTGGAAAAAAATATTATATTTTCTTTAATAGAATTGAATAATCGTTTCGATTTCAAGGAAGCAGGGAAAATAAAGAAAACAATTCCCTTTAGCCCCTTGTACAAAAAAATTCCATTATGTAATGGTAGTCCATTAAATTGACAAAAAAAAGAACCTCCCTTCTATTTTTTTCCATTCAGATCTATTTTTCATCTGTGAAATAGATTTGTTGACATCTCCCCTCTTATATTCGTGTCAGATCTAATTCATACAGTCAATTCATAAACTATAATTCATAAACGATAAATGTAAATATTGAATGAAAAACATTTAATGGTTAACATGTGTCTTTTTAAACCTAAATATATAAAGAGGTCAAAGAATTTGTATTTTAAATATATTCAATAAGAGTTTACGCCCCTGGGTGAAGAAAAGAGAGAGAAAAAGAGAGAGAGAGGAGAGAATATACGAGATCAAAGGAGGAGGTGGGTGTTAGAAGCAGCAACAAGAGGCGGCAAGCTTTGACGAGGCCCCATAACTATTAGAGGCCCAATAGAGAAAGCAAAAGCAGGGGACTGACAAAAACAGGCAAAAAGGAATGAATATCGAAACGTGTGTGAGTGCTGAGAGAGAAAAACCGGTCCCACATTGCGGCTTTGGGGCCCCTTAGGAAACAGCAGGGTCCCACTTTTTGAACCGTAAGTTGATTATACGCACCTGCATGTGAACCAACATAATATACTTCACTGTATTATATCTTCAAAACCACTGCAAAGACAGGGTGCCGTTAACTCGCTTTCCAAAGAATAGCGAAAAAGCAATTATATATATATATACGTATATACAAAGTGTTAAATACAAATTCCTCATTATTTCTTTCCTTGAAAATACCAGAGATTTTTTTTTCTTTAATTCTCCTTTCTTATATATATACATGTCTCATTGTATTCATTTTGGTTCTACATTCTGCACTTGATCATAAAAATTAAATACGCGAAATAAATTTATTTTACGCATTCTAATCGAATATTTTATCTTTAATAAAATTTTATATCAAATTTCAATTTTTATAAAAAAATTCAATTATATGTTTTATAAAAATCCAATTGCCTTTAGAAAATAGAACTGAAATAATATGACAAGTAATCTACATATATATTAATAATCGTATTTCAGTAGTCTGTTTTTCTTTTCAAAGTTGTTGCTTGCTTTTTTGTTTCCTAACTTTTTTAATAATTTTTCTTTTTAAATAATATCCATTTTTAAAATTAATTTATTGAAAATCATCGAATTGTTGCAAAAAATTTTGAGAATAATAGAATTTCTTTGAAAAATTTTATTATTTAGGAAAATAATTGAATTCTCAAGAAGAAATATGTTAAAATTTTTGATAATTCTAATTAAACTCTTTTTGAAGAATTTCAAACTTTTTAAAAATTAATGGAGTTTCTTTAACAATTTTAATTAAAGATCTTAAAAATAATTTAATTTTATGAACAATTTCTTTAAAGTTTTTGAAATAATCGTGTCTGTTAATAATTGAAATTAAACACTTAAATATTGAATTTTATTGAAATTCTTGAAAATTCATTTGAATAATTTCACAACGAATTAAGAAAAAAATTTATGTCTTTCGTGACATTTTTTTGAAAATAATTGAATTTTTGCAAACATTTTTATTATTTATAAATATAATTAAATTGTTTCGAAGGATTTATTAAAAGTTTAAAAAATAATGGAATTTTTGCAAAAAATTTTGAATCTTTTGAAATTTTTTATAACGAATTAAGAAAAAAATTGAATTCTTTCGTGAAAT